TCACCCCAAAGTCACAACAGATCCGTCAGCCAAGATCGCCGCAAAAGTAGCTCGTGTCGCTGCAATGTGCTGCACATGCTTGAGCCGATCTTGCACTGTGCTGGAGTCCCCACCTGCATCCTCGGCGCCCCAGGTTACGACGGATCCGTCTGCCAAAAGAGCCGCAAAGGCTTCCTTTGTGGCCATGACCTCCCGGACCTGGGACCAACTGATCCCGGACTTCCTCGACATCCATTTTCCTGCCCGGAGCGAAGTAGCCAAAGGCGAATGCTCGAGAGGGCACCACATGACGAAGCAAGACCTGGTCTCAGCCATCAGAGGGGTTGTAGCCACTGCGGTCACCGTGGCTCCGTTACTGAGATGCTCTTGAACGCTTTTCGAGTCGAGGAGCAACCGGTCACCGAGGGCAAGTTGAATAAAGGGCTTCTTGAAGAACTGCTTGGCAGATGTCTTCATCTCGGCCACGGGGCTGAATGGGTCGATCTTGACCCTCGTGCGCTCTCCACTTGCCAGCGCGACCTTGAGCTCCAAACGACCTCGCCTGGACCCACAGGGGCCGAGGCACCACAGCCCATGCCACTGGCGCTTTGCTGGCTACGTCTCGCTCTAAACTTTCTACTTCCTGCACCCAGAAAGCCTGCGCCAGTGCGTGTCGAGGAGGGAAGCAGAGCTGTCGGGTTTATAAGCTTAGCCTCCACGTCACATCGCTCGTACAATCAGACATCTTTTGAACCCCAGACGATGGAAAGCTAAACACATCAGGGACTTGCTATGGCCGGATCTTGAAAGCCTACACCCGAAACCCTCAACCTTGGGCCGGTTGCGTAAGGGGCAAGACACCAACACATGTTCCATGTGAAATCTAAACTACCATCACCATCACCATCACCATCACCAGCATCATCATCATCATCGTCGTCATCATCATCATCACCATCAGGAGGGGGAGGAGGGGGGCGAGGAGGGGGCGGGTGGGGGCCGAGCAGGGGGGGGAGGAGAAGGGGGGAGGAGGAGAAGGGCGGGGCGTCCTATGGAAAACTATTTCGGGGTCTGGCAAGGTCTAGAAGCGAAAGGCGGGCCATGCTAGCTTTCGTGATCTGCAGATAACAACGTGCACTTTTCTGAGTCATGAGTCCGTCGGTTTGGATTGCTCGCGCGTTTAGCAACCAGGCATACCAAGTATATGTCTGGCGCGCAACAGCGCCCGTAACACTGCCTCCTTCAGCAAAGCCAGCTACCCTAAACCCTAAACCCTAAACCCTAACCCTAAACCCTAGACCCTAAACCCTAGACGGCTGGCAATTCGACGGAGTCAGCTGCAATCAGACTTCTGGCAAGTGTCTGATCACTTTGGTCGGGACGAAGCCTACCAACTAGGCAACCAGCGAGCAATTCGGTCGCGGTCGGAATCACTGGTCAAGCAGCGTTGCTTGTAAACCTTGGACGCAAACTTATGGACTGGACACCTGATGGTAGATTTTTGCCACAATAACCCCCCCCAAAAAACCCTATTCTAATTATTAAGGCCCCTAATTGCAGATAGTGCAATTCCAGCTTGCTGCAGCACAAGGAGCGGCGCGGCTTCAGACTCCGTCACGGCGCCGGCTTGGGGCAGAGGGATTTCCACCTCGCAAATGCCGGATGGGCCTTTTGGGGGTTTAGGACTATAAGGGGCCCTTGGTATAATCCCCCCAAATAGTAGGATTCCCTGCCAATAAGGACCGCAAGAAGGTACCCTAGTATCATAAACTCCCTTGTGAGAATGCTGAGCTTACAAGGGTCACTGCAAGGCTTCAAGTGAAGTAGGATATACATATATATACTTTTTTTTATTTATTTATTTATCTATTATTTATTTGTTTTTTCTTATACCCCAAAAGGACACCTGGTATCTACACTCACCAACTTAAAAAAGGAACCTTATATACACTCACCAATAACAGTAATATAAACCCTGCTTCATATACCAAACCCCAAACCCTAAACCCTAAACCCTAAACCCTAAACCCTACTTCAAGTGGCCTGCAGCGTCTGGCCCTCCACCACACCTGGTGGTACTGTGACCTCGAACCTGCGCAAGCCGAGGTGCTCTAGGCACCACGCGGCCAGTTTGGGGTTTAGGGTTTAGGGTTTAGGGTTTAGGGTTTGGGGTTTAGGGGGTAGGGTTTAGGGTTTAGGGTTTAGGGTTTAGGGTTCAGGGTTAGGGTTCAGGGTTTAGGATCGTCTTGTCTTGTGGGGCTTGTTCGCACATGGGGCCAATCAAACAGATGCTGGAAGAATGCATGCGTTTGTGGTTCTGTTGGCCTATACCAAATGATCCCGGACTTGCCAATAGATCCGCCCGGGTTTAGGGTTTAGGGTTTAGGGTTTAGGGTTTAGGGTTTAGGGTTTAGGGTTTAGGGTTTAGGGTTTAGGGTTTAGGGTTTAGGGTTTAGGCTTCAGGGCTAGGACTTGCACCATGACGTTCGCATCGCACCAGTTGGCACTCTCCCAGGGACTCTCAGAACAGATCCACATTCCCACCGCCCTCCGCCTAAACCCTAAACCCTAAACCCTAAACCCTAAACCCTACACCCTAAACCCTAAACCCTAAACCCGAACCGCCAAGCCTACACCGCCACGCACCCCACGCCGCTACGCCATGCTGGGTGAAAGTTCCCATCTTGCACGTGGGAGTCGTTCGCGGTGCCCCTTGCCCTCAAGACACAAGGACGGTCCAGTGTTCCGCCCTTATACCAACAGTCCTTAATAGGGATTCTCGTACCGCCCTGATTCTAATCCCTATGAAGAGTTGTTTAGTCTAAGCGGGAACATCCCAAGTTCAGGCTGCAACCGTCTCAAGTCGATCTTGAATGCTGCGTTCTTGTCCAAGCACCGCTCTGCTGCAGCGCGCTCACAGTGAAAGCCAGGCCTTCCACGTGGCCCAAGAACCTGAAAGGCATCACCGGCCTCAGATGACTTGCCTGCTGCTGCAGCTGCGTCATACCCCACACTCAGATTGCAGCTCCCGCCGCTCAAAAGTTGAAAGCCGCACACTGCAGCAGAGATGCTCTGAGACCAGGTGGAACCATCACGTGCATCGTGCGGCCAAAGGCCGTCTGAGAGCCCGGAATCGAAATGTCTGTCAGGAAAGCTGGGTTTGTGAAGAATCAGCTAGCACGCAAGCAAGCAAGTTTTGAGAACCCCCTCAGCCTTGACCAAACACGGCCATCATGGCATCTTGCGATGGCGGGTACTGCACGCCCTCCTTGTGCATGAGCATGTCTGCCTTGACCCCCAGCTTGATGATCTCAACCATCAAGTTCTCCTCGAGGGAGGCATGCAGATGTAGGCTTTAGGGTTTAGGGTTTAGGGTTTCGGGTTTAGGGTTTAGGGTTTAGGGTTGCTACGGAAATGCAGGGCTTGGAGGAGTTCGGTGGGCTAGGAACCTCTGTGCTACGGACCTCATTCACAGCTACAGCCCGTTACTTAAGCTTGACTCCCTAAACCCTAGACCCCAAAATCGAAACCCTAAACCTAAACCCGAAAGCCTAAGACCTGAGGGTCGACCCTGACTCAGTCCTGCTGCCGAATCTGCGCAATGTTGCCGCGCTTGACCTTTCGGTTCTGGAGCTCGGTCGCCACTTCTTCCACCGAGCCGTGGCTGCAACCGAATCCAGGACAAACCTGCATAATGTTTAGGGTTTCGGGTTTAGGGTTTAGGGTTTTTCTAACTCTTGATCATCTTTGTTCCGTTTAAGCATTTGTAAAAATGTAGGATGATGTTCAACAATGACCCGGGTTTAGGCTGCCACCATTGTTGGGGTACTATAATAAACTGGTCATCTTTGTCCCTCAATATTGGGTTGAAGTATTCATCAAACTAGACCTGGGAGTAGCGTAGGAATAAAAAGGGTTTCCTTTTTGGTTTTACGGGGATTATAAGGGAACCCCAACACAAAAAAAAGGAAATACGGGCCTACTCCCGGTCCTGGTAGCCTAAACCCTACACCCTAAACCCTAAACCCTACACCCTACACCCTACACCCTAAACCCTAAACCCTAAACCCTAAACCCTAAACCCAACATAGCCCTGAAAAAATGTAGGATGCTTTTCAACAATGGCCCCAGGAGCCATGTTTTGGTCCGTGTGCACGTTGACGCAGAGACCGCAGCAGAGCTGTGCAGGCTCCACCGATCCGAGCTGCGCATAGGGCTCCCGGCGGACCGCTTTCAAGCAGCAGCTCTTCTTTCCTAGGGTTTGGGGTTTAGGGTTTAGGGTTTGGGGTTTAGGGTTTAGGGTTTAGGGTTTAAGGTTTTGGGTTTCGGGAAACCCTCTGAAAAATCTTCCTGAATATGAATCCTCTTGAACACAAGAAGGGAAAATATGAAAAATGTTCCAAGGGCCGACCTAGCTTCTGAAGACCGCTTCTTCATCATTGAGCTCCAGGTGTGTTGTCTGACAGCAGCAGCAAACTCTCTCCAAGGCATTTGTAATGTCATAGTTCCGTGTTGGCATCTGCTCGGAGGCATTCAGGTGAATGGCTTGACCAACTCCGGGGGTGACTGGCGGCAGTTGTGGCTGCTGTGCTCCATACATCGAGGTCATGGTCGCTTGAGTGGGTGGGTACTGCACGCCCTTCTGCTTCAGCACTATATCAGCTCGAATGTCCTTAGGCGACAACGACGGCAGATTCACAGTCTTGTTCGTGATTTCTCATTCATGCGCCTGGTAAGCAATGGTTGTGCGTGGCGGTCGCATACATTGACCCTGTCAAGTCTACTGGTATTCCAGGCCTTCTTTATTTCGATCCAGCACCAGGTCCACCTGCATTTATTATCCCTTCTCTTGCCCCTGCTGATGTTCAGGCGTAGTGCGTGCTGTCTGCGTTGCGTGTGCATTTGTTCACGCTCCATTTCAATATGCTGGTGACACTTCCTTCTCTGACCGTCCGCGTCGCGTGGCCTTGTCTTCCGGCAAGCTCATCAACGGAACCAAGGTCGCAGCTTCACACTGATATACCCTAAACCCTAAACCCTAAATAGCCACGTCCTGGTGGCGACCACCGGCAGAAAACCAAGGCAGCCAAGCCTCCGCTTCGATGGCCTTGACCATGGTGTTCTCTTGATTTCGGATCTGCGCAATGTTGCCGCGGCCGACCTTTCGCGCCTGGAGCTCCGCAGCAATCTCCTGGACCTTCTGCGTGTCCCCGCACCATCCCGGAACCCAGCCGTTCACCCCATGGAAGCAGCAGCAGCAAATCTCTTCGTCCACCGCCCGGAGCTGAGCGTACGGCTTGCGGTCAGTCGAACGCATGCAGTTATTGCTGAACGTCTCAACTGCCTGCTCCTGGGCAGCCCAGATTAGCCCAGTAACCCTATTACAATAAGGGGCACCCTTTTTGGGTTTGGGTACCATTACAAGGGAGCCGATAACCAGAAAAAGGGCAAAAGGGTACCGCTCAGCTACCAAGGCTCCGATTCCAGGGTAAGGGAGTGGGAGGTGCACCCTGCCAGGCCGCAAGTCACGGCCATGCAGCAGCAGTTTGCAATGTCGTTGCGCACGTTGTAAGCCACGGTGTCAAAGTCTCGGCTTGGCAAGGAGTGTGTGCCCTCGGGCACGACGCAGGAGCTCTGGTCCCCGTAGAGTTGGCGCATGGTCTGCTGCGAAGGAGGGTAGGAAGCATCCGCCCCGATCTTGTCCAGGATCAGCGCCAGCTCTGCCGCGAAGTCATCGAATCGCTGCATCATGCTCTCAAGCTGCTTCAGCTGGCCCAGGTTACCCCGCACATCCACGCGAGCCTGCAAGTCGGCCCGAATGCTTTCCACCACACTTCGGCTGCAACCAAACCCAGGCTGTATCGGCACCTAGGATGGGCCTTGAAAAACCCTGCAAAGACATGCTCCTGAAATGGGATCCTCTTAACCCCACTTAAAACGGGAAAAGATAAAATGCCTCTTAAACCCCAAAAAAGGGAAAGTATAACATGCCTCTTAAACCCAATAAAAGGGAACACATACAATGCCTCGTAAGATCCCAAATACCTAAACCCTACACCCTAAACCCTAAACCCCAAACCCTAAACCCCAAACCCCAAACCGAAAAAAAAATGTCCGGGGCCTAGCGAGGCACGTGCCCGGCTCTGCCCGGTTTTGTTGGCACCCTAAACCCTAAACCCTAAACCCTAAACCCTAAACCCCAAACCCCCAAAAATGTCCCAAGAGCCTGCCTAGGCGCGTGCCCGGCTCTGCCCGGTTTCTTCGTCAACTCCCCGGCTTCCAGGCTTGAAAGGCACCCGCAGGACTGAAGCGAGTCAACCTGCATGTTGGGTTTGGGGTTTCGGGTTTGGGGTTTAGGGTTTCGGGTTTAGGGTTTAGGGTTTAGGGTTTAGGGGTTTAGGGGTTTAGGGGTTTAGGGGTTTAGGGTTTAGGGTTTAGGGTTTAGGGTTTAGGGTTTAGGGCTTAGGGCTTAGGGTTTAGGGTTTAGGGATGCTCATGAGAACAGGTGCTGCCAAGCCGCAGATTCAATGTTTGCATATGGGACCCTGCTGGTTACAACCTGGCAGGCGGGGGACACAAATGCGTTGTGGGGGTTTCCGAAAATAGGGTGCCCTTTTGGGGGGTCCCTTTGAGGGGATTCCATTCTATTGGGGTATAAAAGGGTACCCCTATTTTTGAGAAACACCCAAACGGATTCCGCAACAATGTTGGGTGGCTCGGCAAAGCTTTGTAAGCGGGTTATAAGTGTAACTCTACTCTACTGATAACCATCTTAGGGCAACTCAGGGGCATGTAAGTGGGTTATAAGTACAGTTATAATCGGTTCACGAGTGCCCTGAACCTCCAAGTAGCTGTTGGCTCTTGGAAGGCTTGGCTGCTTGTTAGGGTTTAGGGTTTAGGATTTAGGGTTTAGGGTTTAGGGTTTAGGGTTTAGGGTTTAGGGTTTAGGGTGTCGTGACTCCTCCCACCTGATAAGTCAGCTACTCAGCGGTCCTGTGTTCCGCTAAGCAGTCTCTTTCTGCCACGGGGGTGAAGTATTCTGCTTCATCAAGCTGTCCAAAACTCCGGAACACGCCTCTTTCTGCCATTTCCAACTGGCGCTGCGCTACTTGGGGTGGGGTGCCTGACCGGTCTCCACATGCCAATTGTCCGATTTCCATCCCCCTCGCTCTGTGGGGGGACTCTGTTCATGCGAATCCGATTGCACGATTTCTCGAAGTTTCTAAACTTCCCAGTTCCAGAGAGAACCCGCGACCCTTAAGTACCCTAATATACAGTTACAAGTATAGTTATAATCAGCTAATAAGTACCATGAAGCACCAAGTATAGAGAAAGCCTGCATCCCTTTCTCGTTGTTGCCGTGACCTCTTTTGGGCTGGCGCTTGGGAGCTATTTGGAGAGACTTTGGTGGGAATCTGTTGACAGAATCTGTGGGGGCAATATCCCACTAGATTTCCTTCAATCCCCGCCCCCCACGCACTTTCCATCAGCAGAGCCCTAAACCCTAAACCCTAAACCCGGCGCATGCTGATGAGACAAGAGCGCTACCAAGAAGCTCTTGCTGAAAATGGGGGGGTTTAACGAACATGAGGGACCCCTGATACAATCCCAGAGGATTCCCTTATCATAAGGACCCCAATAAGGTACCCCTAAAATCGGGGAAAACCCCAAATCATCATGACACAAAACGCACTGGGCTGCCAAGAAACGCTGCCGGTAATGTACTGCTGAGTTGTGAGAACTGCTTCGTCAGGTGCCAGCTGTAGCAGCTTTGAGGTGCAGCACAGCGTCTCGCAGCAGCATGTTATGTCCTCAATTCGGACAAAATGTTGGGTCTTGTAGCTAGGATCTCAGAATCGTGGAGTTCCATGGCAAGAAAAAAGCACACACAAGAAAGCAGACAGCTAGCGCGTGCGCGTTCAATGAAAGGGCGGCCGAGTTCGAGATCCATCGGAATACCCCCTGCGCCGAGAATCATACTCATGGGTCTCAAACTCGTGAACCTGCTGGGTAACAGCGACGTTTGACAAAGGTCGCATGATTGGAGCGCCTCGCGGGAAGATGCGCTGCAGGGTTGCTTCCTCCGGGGGATACTTCACCCCAAAGTGCTTTACCAGCATAGGCACTTGAATGGCCAGCTTGCTGATCTTGTCCAACATGAACTTTTGCTGACGTACTTGAGCAATCTTGCCACGGCCATCCTTTCTGAGGTTCAGCTCTTGAACAATTTCCTCAACCAGCGACCGGGAGCATCCGCAACCGGGAACAATGCCGCCTTCATCCTTGTCGTTCATGGGCGCCAAGTCAGAATTGATGGCTGCACAAACCTTGGTAGCCCAGCAAAAAAATAATATAATAAGGGTACCCTTTTTTGGGGTTGGGTACTGTTACAAGGGAGCCCATAACCCGAAAAAGGGCAGAAGGGTACCACTCAGCTACCAAGAAACCCCAAAGCACAGAGACCGCTGCTCCAACAGCGTTAGCTGAGCATACGGCCTTCGTTGCGTGCAGCTGCAGCAGCAATTCCTCGTCCGAAGCACTGCCTCTTCTGCTTCCAGATCCAGCGTCTTCCTGCAATGCAGAAACGAAGGTTGTGAGGGTAGTTTCAGGGGCCCTTAGTATGGTCCCTAACCTCCTTCAAAGAGTTCTCATGTATGGGCCCTGAGTTTGTATAGGGCATCGAAGGGGTTTATAAGTGGTGCCCATTTGAGGGCACATACTGAGGGACCATGTGACTACCCTTAGAAAACGGTGCAGCGCAGCAGGCTTAGTTCCTAGCAAGCGTACCTTTGAACTTACTTCTAGAGGCGCCTGGTCAGAAGGCACAGTGGCAAACCGATGCATGCTTCAATCCAGTTCGTGACATCGAAGCTTCGTTCTGGAAATGTTTGCATGAGATTCTCCATGCTTTCACGCGGCGCGGGAGCCAACTGAGGCCGCTACCCGCCGCTAACTTGAAATCGAGCTGGAGCCAAGAACGCAGCAAGCAATTAGGCAAGCTATTCGCAGGCAGCACCCACTACTTCTGGATTTCACAAGATACGGAAAGCAATCCTGCATCCACGCCGTGCGCCGGCACACAGAAAAAGTCTTTGTAGCTTTCCTGTTCGATTGTCGGAGAGATAACCTCGTAGAGATGACCTCGTTGTTGAACCGACTTGAATTTGCCATCGTCAATGATGACTGTGGACAGCACAGCATTGACCACTCTTCATCAGGTCCAGAACCCAGAAATGTTGCAGCCTAGTATCGCGTATTGCAACAGTGACAATGCAACGCACAGCATTGAACACTTTTGATGCCTACTTGGAGACCGTGTCTAGGTGACCGGATCACAAGTCCATCATCCAGAAACGCCGAAAACTCTTCAAGTACTGCACGTCAATGCTGCAGATTGGCAGAACGACTTGTTCCACGAAACGTCCGCTGTAGGCAAGCCTACGTACCGCATGTCAATCAGAGCAGTGCAAAAGAGGTTGCAGTGCGTGACTCGTGCGCGCACGAATCTTTAAGGATTCTGGAGCATTTGCACGAAAAAAAGACCGGATAGTGAAACATTTGAGAACTCCACCATCGATTACAACGTAAATCAGTGACGAGGCACAAACTATTGTTGGACGGGACGTGTCATTTACTACCACAAGGCTATCATGTTGACGGTACACCAGCACACATAGTACCCCAGAAATGCTAACAACTGGGTGTCGACGTTCCACTGGTGGCTGCATATCCGGCATGGTGGCACCTCTTTCGCCAGGATTTTATACGCAGGCTGCCACGGCTAGGCAAGCTGAACATTGCACTGGCTTCAACTCAAGATAACCATGCAGCTTTGCAGATTGCGCGATCCGTTCGCAGCCGACAGCAACAGCCCGCCTAAGTCCAAACACCCATGTTTGTTACCTGCACACTAAATCCTGTATAACATAATTGCGAGGCGATTTTTGCTTTAAAAATTATGAAATTGCAAAAATCGAAAGACAAGATACAAATCAAAATCAAAAAACATCGGCTGGAATTGCGTGGGCGACGCGGGAAATCAAAATATCGAAAAGACTCAAAAGGTAAACCAAAAGTTCCAATTAAAGAAGGCGAAAACAGGCTGAAATGCCTGCGGGCCCAGAAAATGAGCTAAATACACATATAGATATTGTATAAAGTGATTTTAGCCTATTGGTAATGTTTTTCATACTACATCTTGTCATTTTCAAGGCCCGTGGGAATTCCAGCCTTTTTCGCTCTCTTTTTTTGTTTCGAGCTGCTTTGGATTCTCTTGATTTTGTGTTTGATGTTTTTTAGGTTCCCCCCCCCCCCGCCCCGCCGCAATTCCAGCCGATGTTGTCGACGTTTTTCGACTTTCCATTTTGAAGGTCAATTGTCTTCTAAGAAACTAAATATCATAAGTTTAGGGACAACACTGAGAAGAGGTGTTTGGTGACAATATCCGACATATATGTGCCCTTTCTTTGGAGCACCTTACATCAAACTGTCACTGGAATTTACCCTCTGACAATATGCGAGTCACCCACCTTACTGCCTACCTGGCGCTTTTGCACAGCCATCAGGTTGACTAGCGCCTACCCACCCAGCCGGGACCAATAGACGTGCCGGAAGAAGCGCAGAGTCCCCAATTTCAAGACACCCATCCGACTCTCCAGCACTCCTCGCGCGGCGGTAACTTCGAAAGACACGGCCAACACAAGCTCTGCATCCGATGTTTCGCGGCCACTAAGAAAATAACATAAGTCAGTATAGCTGGCTTTGAAGCACCATCCCAGAAAACAAGCACCGGCGAAAAGGTATTCGGGAATTTCCAGAACCAGGGGGACCCCAGATAGAACCCAGTATAGTCGAATCCCCTTCAATGACCCAAAACAAGGATCCCTATTTTTTGGAAGCCCTTAAACCCTATAATCCCTATATAACACCCTATACACGGGTCTAGATTGGGTCACTAAATATAGACACTCTCCCAGTTAAAGCACAAAAAACAAGCTTGTGTACTAAACTCCGTCTGCCCAAAACAAACCTGTCTGAAGTCAAAATCATACAAGGAAAACGGTACTACTAGTGGTGATAATGAAAATCATCATAGTACTCGTAATAATCAGAGCAATCATCATCAGCGCAGGACAAACTGTCATTCGTAGGGTGCAACTGTCCGTCTGATGCTCTGCCTGCACCTGCTTGTCCTGAAAGCTCAGATGCGACGGAGTCGCACCATAGCGAAACATCCTGTCATCCCTGTGTCTCCAACCAGCCGTCCAAACTCGATGAAGCCTAATCCCTAAACCCTAGACCCTAGACCAAGCAGCTCTGAAAATCCAGACCCAAAACAAGGATTCTCCCAAAAGACCTGCAGCACAGCGACGCTGTATCTTGCGCCTTTGCATTTTGGAAATCTGCCACCAGCGATCCGCCTGAACTACTCGCTCCTTGTGTCCGCTGTTGGTAGTGTCCTCCTACCCAAACATGTATCTGTCTAGATGCGACACTCGGGAAAGCGGCACGGAAGAACGCGACAAGTGGGGAGCCTTTCTTCCGAAGGCTTGCCGGATGTGGTCCTTCAATCAATCTTTCACTCCATACCCACGCTGCATTGGCGAAAAGAGGCGTGCCTCTGTCTTGAAGAACCGGAGCATTCTTTCCATCTCCTCATCCTGCTCCATCCGGATGAGATTAAGATGTAATGAACACGCGCATGAAAGAGTCGCCAACCAACACGACTCAGCGGCTGACAGCATCCTCCACAACTTCTGGAGGGCACGTGCACCTAATCCCAACATCCATCAAAGTGACACCAGCGCATATCACCTTTTTCGGGCTCCGGGCCGCACAGCTGGTGTTTGTGGGTGTTCCTGTCCAGGGATCTTCTTCTTGATGTTACTGCTAGTACGGGTACTTGTATGACGGCCCGCAAACACAGCCCCGGAAAACAAGCAAACTGAAGATAGTTCAAAGTCACGAGGATGATGCCACTCAAACTGCCGCTCTCAAAGTGGCGAAGTTGGGAGCACATGTGGTACCGATCCACGGTCCGACAGAATTGGAACATTGCACCGCAGCTTAGATTCTGTGTGTCTGGAAAGCGAACAACATGGAACTTGACCTTGCAAGCCAATCTGAAGCATTCCCCATCGTGGCTTGGGCAATATTGAAGAAAACAGTCTGGTGTTTGACGGTAGCACGTGCACTTTCATCAAAGGACAGCCCGTTTGAGGTGATCATAGTGTATGGCGTGACTATTCAAGATGGGTGTTGAACCTTAGCTTGTCCTCCGTTTCGTTCAGATGTAAACCCCAGATCCCTAAACTCAGAAGTTGAATCTCGGATTCCAAATTCGGGGTTGGAGTTTGGGAAGGCGAAGGCGTTTTCTAGTTGCCGGATCTGTGTTGGAGTTGGGAAACATGCGAATGTGCCTATCATGGGCCTGTATCAGACGCAATGAGCGGACAGGCAAAACATGGCTGAGCAACCTGTCTGAGACGAGCTAAAACTTTGGACGCAGCAAAGATCACATACGACCAATGGCCACTCTGATGTTGCAGGATTAAAAATTGGTGGCACTTGTTATTCCATTACACCTGCTGCAGATCAAGATTCTGGCTGTGATCTGAATTTCATGCAAAGCAAGTTCATTCCTGTGTATTCCCCACACAAGATTCGCCTGAACGAGCTTTGCACAATGATTCGCAATGTTAAGAACACCCCTACACCCTAAAAGCTGAAAATGCTTTACCACCTTTGTATCTACTCATACATCTTGGGACCTCCATCCAAAACAGACTCCTTGAAGCTCTTGTCTGATCTCAGGCATCTTGCAAAGCTGCTGGGGGCCTCTGTGAGCTCCGCACCCTGGGCAAAGTTGTCAGCCCGCGCCTCACGGCATCTGGCCACCTCTATCTTAAGCATTACTACAGCTACCGTTCCATCAGATGCCATCATTGCCGGTACCTGTAGCGGCAGTGCTGCAAGTACTAAGAGATAGCAAGGCTGTCGCCCTTGAATTTAGTCATAACACACCCTGGTTTTCGCAGCACTTTCGCAGTCCCTCCGCTTCAGAAGGAAATTCTCAGTGTAAGGGAGGTGCATCAACCGCAGGATGCATGGCCTGCGAGCTCAAACCTTCCACGGCCAAGGCACCTGCCGCATCGGCCTGACAAGGGGAATGAGAGACTTCATCTGATGGCATCTACGGAACAGACTCTTTGTCACGGAGGTGTTGGCCTACGAAGCAGCTCTGATGAAGCATGCCCAGTAAATACATGTTAAAACTTGAGGTGTCGATTTGGGCTCTTCAATTTGTCAATGATGTAAACACCCCCTTTGTATCCATTGCATATTCAGTATGCACCACTTCTATGGGTACAAAATAATCCTTATATACCCCATTATAAGGACCTACAATTCCCCCCAGAATCCCCAGAATCCCCCTCTATACCTTTTGAGAACCTTGCATTGAAGAGTCTTATAAGTTGCAACCCCTAGAACCCCATTCTACACATGATATCCTGTATGCCCTTCAAGTGCACTATACCCCCCAGAAACAAAACACGTAAGAGCCGACTCTCTGGTGGCCTTTGCAGCACGATTGCGACGTCTCTGTCCCTGGCCAGCGAAAACGAGGGCTTCGAGTCTTGCGCAACATGCGGGATTTAAAGAGGATTATAGGGCGCCTCCTTAAGGCATTGTTTGAGGGTCACAATGAGCAACACCCATACCACAGCATGCTGTCGCCACCCTCTCCACACCGCAGGAACGTAGCAATTCGAGAGCATTACTGGCATTGACCACCTGACTGATTTGTTCCTGGAAACTATTCTAGGCATCCTTTGGATATCATAGTACATTGCCGTCAACTGCAATACAATCTAGAACATCCTGGTATGACGACTTTTTCTATGCAGCATACCAGTACATGTTAGGACAGACACCGGACCTTCGAGGGAACTGCTCTGCGCTGGGTCTTTGACCGCGCCATTGGCTGAACCTGAGAAGGGCCGCTAACTGCTAACTGGCAACTTGGTATACAGTTATGTCGGTCTTATCCCTCCACACGAGGACCCTGAAATCCCCTTTGAATCACTCGGTACCCCTTGCAGCCTAAAAGTAACACCCCCTTGTGGAGAAACTCCCATGTGCTGGATATGAGGGTCAGCCGCCGGAACCCAACCCTCCGCCCAGGCACTTACCCTGGGTGCCGGCTGGTTAATACAACAGAGCCGTAGCCGCCATGGTATACCCACTCCTTCCACTCACTATTGGAAAACCTGAGGCCGAGACGCCGAATTCAGATTTCTACGCAACCCAGAGCTGAATATTTGCTCGGTCAGACTTGGGCCGAAAGAAACATAGGATGAGTTGCAAGAACAAGTCAATCAAAAAGGGGGGGTGGGTGGCACGCATGCAATCTGCCGTCAGCCCCGAATGATTCATCATGAGATAACACATCACTTAGACTGACACTACAAGCATCTTCATGCAGAGAGTTTCTTAACAATATGATTCGTGATAAATTTTCAAAAAGGTATCACTCCAACAAGTCGTATACCAGACACGACTGCTAGCTACACCCATATGACGATCTCCTCACAGCACTCCTTTAGGGCTGAGGGTTGAAGGCTTAGGGCTTAGGGTTTAGGGCTCACGGTTTAGGGTTCGCACGAAGAGGACCATGGGAGATCCTGCAGCTCCAGGAAGACAAGCTGGTGTTTAGGGTTTGTGGTTTAGGGTCCGGGGCTTGGGCTTTAGGACTTAGGGTGCAATAGCCCCCTGAAACGCCGATCTGACTGCAACTAGTTGAACCGAGATCACTCCATGGACATTGGTATATCGCCATTCTTCCACATGCTGGTAATTGATGGGCTTTTGGGGTATCCTAGAACCTATCTACCCCAAAAGAGGGTTCCTACTTGAATATGTTTTATCGCTTAAAGGCGGGCAATAGCCTGGATTTCTGCACGAAACCTGACATTAGAAGGAGCCCATTCAACCTTGCCTTATACTGTACGTCAAATAACCTTCTTTGCTGAGGTGGCTTGACCCGTCTTCATGACGGGCGTCGTACCCGAATCTTTTCAGTCCAAGGGAAGAAGTCATTGCCCCATGCGAGGTACGAGGATACCAGACTCTACACGCTTTGAGCATCGGGCACGGAACACAAACGATACTGGTTTGCTACTGGGGGAAGAATCATCGAAGCATAGACCAAGTGCAGAAACATTGCGCCAGAAGTGGTGGGAATTGCGGAAACATGCGTGGAAAAAGATTGTGGAAAACGCTGAAACATGTGCGGAAAAGTTTTCGAAAATGCGGAAACATTTGCGGAACAAATTCTGGCAAACGCGGAAACACTTGATAGCCACGGGAGAAACGAAAGCTCCGTAATGCGGGCCCTCTTTTTCCTTCCCCGGGCTGGCGTTCGCGAGGGTCGGAGGCGTTCAGAACAAGCAGATGCAGGCTTTAGGCGACCCCCGGCAGTGCCGCCAAGCACGCCGCCCGGCGAGCATCGGCCCGGTCCCGTTTCTCCTCAGAAAGGCAAATAACGAGACCACGCCGAGGACCCGAAATATGCTCCAAAAAAACCGTTTTGGGCAACCGCCCTCGAACTTGGGCGGGGGACGCCGAGCCGGAGCTGCGATTTTTTCACCAACCCGCCCCCCCCCACCCCACATCCGCCAGCCCTGACGAGCTTTCGTGATTTGGAAAAATCCCACCACCTTATTCCGTACAGGTTTCCGAGATGTCCACACCTTTTTTTCGCGTACATGTCCGCAAATTCAACACTTGTTTTTGCCAACATTCAGCATGTGCCACAACTTTGCCAAATGCCACATTTGCTCCGCACATGACTTTGACTCCACCTTTTTTCCAGCCCCTCTCCACCCCCCGACCCCCACCCCCACCTTTCAGCCTACTCGCCTCTTGGGGAACAGACCCAAACCCAGTTGTCCTTGCTTGCTTGTTTCACCAGTCCCAACAATGAAAGCCTCTCAAAGCGCAGAAGCCCAACAGCACCTCCTCACCAGTGCTGGGCACGCCCCGGCCGAGGCGGATCGCGCAGCGTGAAAGATTACCGCCCTTTCGCAACTCGCATTTTCCAGGCGCGAGAGAGACGATCTCTTGAGCCCAGTCTCAACGCTTTCAGCGCAGCAGTAGCAGACTTACGTGCCAGCTTCTGCAAAACAAGACTGACATGACTCGACGGACACGTTGTACTTCAGCAAGTTCTGCCTGAAAGACTGCAGCGCCTGTTGGTACACGATCCCGTCCAGGTCCTGCTCTTGGAAACCGAGAAACCCCAAGCTTCTGTGGTTCCTCACCCTAAACCCTAAACCCTAAACCCTAAACCCTAAACCTTAAACCCTAAACCCTAAACCCTAAAGACAAAAAAACAGCATTCAAGTGCAGGCCAGAATCATCACGAAAGCCCTGCAACGGGGCCGTGTCATACAAACCCTCGGCAGTCTTGTTAGCATTCGGCGTGGGATGCTCGTTTGCAAAGTCATCTGCTCTACAGGAGCCTCCGAATATCTTGTGAAACAGGCATATCGAAAGGTTCCACTCCTCCAGGGCTTAGGGTTTAGGGCTTAGGGTTGAGGGTTTAGGGTTTAGGGTTTAGGGTTTAGGGTTTAGGGTTGAGGGTTGAGGGTTGAGGGTTTAGGGTTTGGAACACCGACGGAATCAAAAAGCTCCGAAAGGAGTCCAAAGGGAAAGAGACTCAGCATCTTCGCCTAAGCCCAAGGTCAAAAAAAAGTAAACCCTAAACCCTAAACCCTAAACCCTCAACCCTCTCCTCCATGATGCCTGCGAAAGCAAAGCCCTCGCGCACGCGCCGGGCAGCCTCTTCGGCGTTGCTCTGAGTCCTCCACTCATCGCTCGACGCCCACCGATTCCTCATTGGGTTTAGGGTTTAGGGTTTAGTTCAGGGTTTAGGGCTTTGGGGTTTTGGGGTTTAGGGCTTTGGGGTTTTGGGGTTTAGGGTTTAGGGTTTAGGGTTTAGGGTTTAGGGTTTAGGGTTTAGGGTTTAGGGTTCAGGGTTCAGGGTTCAGGGTTTAGGGTTTAGGGTTTAGGGTTTAGGGTTTAGGGTTTAGGGTTTAGGGTTTAGGGTTTAGGGTTTAGGGCCCGAAATTCCGAAAAGAAGCCGTCACTTGGGGCATTCTAGAACAACTTCTTCTTTGAAAACCAGCAGAAAAATGTCTCCACTAAAGGGTTCCTTTAAGCTTCAGCTGGCCCTAGAAAGAATGATGATGCAAACTTATGCAAATGAAGCATGATTTTAAGTGCAGCCCACAGATTCCCCAGCATGTGATCCCCCGGACTGCACTCTCCCAGCAGCTGGTAGACGACTTCACCTCTGACCCCCCGCGCATACTCCAGCGGGGAAACTGGCGCAAGCGCTCCCGGATCGCCCGGATTCTGCGTGTAGTTGCAAAGAAGCGGTGCACCTGGAAAGAAGAGTTCTTGGTTGTAGTCGTAATATTCAGAGAGTATGCGCTGTTCTGGCTGCCGGAACATTCCCACCAGGTGCCCTTTCTGCTCGGCGTACCGGCTGCCCACGCACTCTGCGAGGCTGGGCGGGCACCGGAAGTGTGTTGGGTCACATATGCCCGGGCAAGCCTCAATGAAATGCTTGAGGTAGCAGCTCCCCCCGAAGTCGTCCTTGCCAACTGAAACGTCCGAAGGCACTCCAGGGCAGAAGCCAGGCATGTGAAGAAGCATGTTCGCAATGCTGCCGCCCTGCGTGATGTGAAACCAAGTCCTAAGGCATGAGAGGGGCTGCAACATTTCTTGGAGAGTAGGCCCTAAACCCTAAACCCTAAACCCTAAACCCTAAACCCTAAACCCTAAACCCTAAACCCTAAACCCTAAATAGTGAAAAAAAAACCAGAGTTGCTTCGCCAAGGCTCATTGGCAAAGGTGACAAAGTGCTGCCAGAACTGCTTCCTGTGGCAAGGGCACCGGCGCCGGCATCCTTGTTCAAAATGAGCCTTAGCTGTTTTATAGGCTTCTTCATGGAGGGGGGGTTTCAAGGGGGGTATGTAATGCAAGGTTCCCGAATACTCCCCACTACTCTTTGAGGCTTTCTGAGCTTCTTTGAGGTTCCCTAGGTACCTACATGAGCCCCTCCCTCAAAAATCCCTACTTGGAGGTTCAATGGTACTTCTGAACCTACTAGTAAGTGAGTTGTAGGTACAGTTAGAATTGTTCAACAAGTACCATGAACCTTCAAGTATATTGGTTTGCTTCTGGGCTCCTTTGGGATAAGTTTCGCATAGAACATTGCGTTTAAGGTTTAAGGTCTAGGGTTTAGGGTTTACGGTTTAGGGTTTAGGGTCGAGGGTTTAGGCAGGAAGGCGACGTCCGCTGTAGGAGATCGACATGCTCCCCAGACTCTAAGGCTCCGAGGCCGGGCAGATAAGCACAAAGAAAAGCTTGCAGCCACCGGTTGCGAAACATTGCGACTTAAGGATAAGGTTTAGGGTTTAGGGTTTAGGGTTTAGGGTTTAGGGTTTTTAGGGTTTTTAGGGTTTTTAGGGTTTTTAGGGTTTTAGGGTTTTTAGGGTTTTTAGGGTTTTTAGGGTTTTTAGGGTTTTTAGGGTTTTTAGGGTTTTTAGGTTTTTTAGGGTTTTTAGGGTTTTTAGGGTTTTTAGGGTTTTTAGGGTTTTTAGGGTTTTTAGGGTTTTTAGGGTTTTTAGGGTTTTTAGGGTTTTTAGGGTTTTTAGGGTTTTTAGGGTTTTTAGGGTTTTTAGGGTTTTTAGGGTTTAGGGTTTAGGGTTAGGGTAAAGGGGCTAAATTTCGAGGAATTTCGGTTCGGTTTGAGCCTTGGGCTGCGGAGAGCGCTTTGCTGCAATCGCGCTGGCAGGAGAAACACCCAAGGCATTGAATGCACAGGCCCTGAAAGGGTTTAGGGCTTAGGGTTTAGGGTTTAGGGTTTAGGGTTCAGGGTTTAGGGTTTAGGGTTTAGGGCAAACTGCAACAGGTAGAAGAGCAGCAAGTGCCCGAACCGGTGAAGGTCAACTGCAGCTTACGACCTGTCGAAAACATGTCATGGACACAAAACCCTAAACCCTAACCCTAAACCCTAAACCCCCGGCGTGCAGCCACCTTAGGCCAAAGCACTGTACGGTCGGCAGTGGTCCCAGTGTCATGTAGGGACAAGAACCCCCCAGAGGATGCAAAAAGTAGATCCCCTTGAGGGCTCCTAAGAATGACCCGATAGTCAGATAGGTACAACCCTAAACCCTAAACCCTAAACCCTAAACCCTGGGCCATGAAAGAGCTGCGAGATGCATCTTGACAGGCAAAGCCCTGCGACATGCCCCGCATGCCCTACCTTAGGGTTTAGGGTTTAGGGTTTAGGGTTTAGGGTTTCGGGTTTAGGGTTTAGGGTTTAGGGTTTAGGGTTTAGGGTTTAGGGTTTAGGGTTTAGGGTTTAGGGTTTAGGGTTTAGGGTTTAGGGTTTAGGACCCTACCTGGGAGGCGCCCCACTTGGAGGTTCATGGTACTTATGAACCAATTATAATTAGGGTTTAGGGTTTAGGGTTTGGGGTTTAGCTGTACTTATAACCCACTTATAAGCCCCCCTGCCCAATATGGTTAGAAGTACAGTTCCACGTACACTTATACTTGGTTAACAAGTACCATGAACCTCCAAGCAGCGTCTGCTCAACGACCGTTTTGCTTTCGAGCGCAGCACCGCCCTCTGTGAACCTCTTGGCATTGCGCCGACAGACCGGGATTTTCTGTCGAGCGCACCGCCGCACTCTGTGTAGCCTCTGGGAATCGTGAACCGGGTGAGAACCCAGGTCCCACACACAGAACATCTAGCGTGTGCAGGGAGGCACCGCCATGACTGCTCAACGACCGTTTTACTTTCGAGCGCAGCACTGCACTCTGTGAACCTCTTGGCATTGCGCCGACAGACCGGGATTTTCTGTCGAGCGCACCGCCGCACTCTGTGAGCCTCTGGGAATCGTGAACCGGGTGAGAACCCAGGTCCAACAAACAGAACATCTAGCGTGCGCAGGGAGGCACCGCAATGACTGCTCAACGCGCGTCTTACTTTCGAGCACAACACCGCACTCTGTGAACCTCTTGGCATTGCGCCGACTGCCACCGCTCAACTCCCGGGATTTTCTTTCGAGCGCAGCGCTGCACTCTGTGAACCACTGGGAATCGTGAACCGGGTGAGACCCAGGTCCAAAAAAGCAGGACATCTAGCGTGTGCAGGGAGGCACCGCAATGGCTGCTCAACGACTGTTTACTTTTGAGCGCAGCACCACACTCTGTAAACTTTTTGGCATTGCACCGGCTGCCGCTGCTAAACTCCCGAGAAGTACGTTTTCGAGCGCAGCGCCACACTCTGTGAACCTCTGGGAATCGTGAACCGGGTGAGACCCCAGGTCCAAAAAACAGAACATCTAGCGTGTGCAGGTACCGAGCAACGGCGTGCCACTCGCGCCAGAGCTGTTAAGTCCGAGGCTGCAAGAGCAGATACTCAAGACGAATTCGAAGTCAGGTCGTTTCAGAGGCAGTTGGTTTAGGGTTTCATCTTTGTGGGTTTAGGGCTTAGTGTCTCATCCTTGGGCTTGAAATCACCGCAGTGTCTGTTGGCTGGTGCAGCGGCTGACCTGCGCTTACCTGCTTCGGTAGCAAGAGCGCACCGTGCTCACAGCGTGCTCACAGCTCCTGCCTTTCCTGCAGTTCCTGCCCGGCCCTACATACGCGGATACGTGCACTCGCTCGGCGCAAGTCGCCTGGAAAAAGAAGACGATCCCCGTGCAGGCTGCGAGCTTCTCCAAGGACATATGAAGCAGGGTTGATATTTCTTGTACCCCCAAAAGGACACCAAATATATACACTCACCAATGTTAAAAGGAGCCTTATTTTCACTCACCAATAACAGTAATAAAAACCCTGCTTCATATAGGCCAACGTGGTTCAAGACATCGGGGCCAAGTACCAAATAGAGTAGCCAGTGCGCTGGCTGGGTGGCTGACAGGCAGCGCCTGTGTCGGCTGACCTGTCCAGAGAACCAGCAAGTCTCCAATATATGTTTTTCTCCGGGGAAGAACATTCCTGACTTCACAGGTTTCTAAATTTCGCGCTGTGCCGTGGTCGTGTCCAGCAGACAAGCACTTGCCAACAGGGCAGCGTTTTGGTATGCTCTGGTGGGACAATTGGCGTGCCTGGGTCGGTAAAGCACTTCCTTGCTGCGTAAAGGTTGCTGTGTGTGTTAGGGATGTTGGGCATCAAGATGCTTCAAGTGAACCCGAAAAAGAAACTTGACTTCACCTTGCTGAAGTCCTGACCTTTCCCAGCCTTGCCGTGGTACCACCATTAAACATTTGGGGATGCAAGGATTCGCTTCCTTGCTTCAGGCACAGCCTGCGTAGCGACGTTCTTACCCGCAAGTGCTGTCACGCTGGGACACGCAGCTGGAGGAGCAGGGTGTAGAAAACGCGCGCGCATTGGATCCCCACGGGCCAGGTAGAAGGAAAGATCTACTAAACCCTGAACCCGAAACCCTAAACCCTAAACCCCTAAACCCTAAACCCTAAAACCCGAAACCCCCTAAGAGAGGGCACCCCCAGGAATCTCTGCGGCGGCAGCGGCGCCGCGGCCGCCGGCTCAGGTGCGACTCAGGATCTGAGAGGATCCCAGGGCTTCACGGATGGCTTCACGGATGTCCCAGCTCCTACTTATCGTGGAACTTGCCAGCTGATCCAGCTGTGTTTTTCTCTGGAGGGCAAGACACAACACGTCACGCCGCCATGGCTGCTTCTAGGCTCCTTCCGTTCCGCTTCTTAAGGGCAACATGTGGAGGCTTCGCCCCGAGGCTTCTGATGCTTCTGCGCCCCGCTTGGGACATTGGGGCATCCGGCTTGGGAGCTGCATCCAAGGAAGGCACGGGTAGATCCCTGTGTTTTTATAGGGATTTCAGGACTCAAACAGGCCCAGGCAAGGCAAACCTCGAGTCGTGGCACACGACAGGGAACCTGCGGAGTGCTGGGCAGGAAATCCGCACTCGGCACACAGCTACGCCAGGCCCAGGTGAGGAACGAAGAGAACTGAGAGACGCATCCTGTTCGGAGCTTGCAAATATCGGCTTGGCAGATCTCGGAGCCCTCATTGTGCTGAAGCCTCCCCTCTTAAGGTTCTAAGCTCCGTGTGGCTCTGTGTCTTGTGGAATGGACCCGTGACGTGAGTCTTCCGGCTGCCCAGATGCAGAGCGATGAAATGCAAAAAGGGCCCTGCCCACAAAGTGCGCTTCCAGCGGGGTCTCGCGGCGGCAGATGGGACCGCCCGACGTTGGACGCCGTCGACATCGTGGCCTAGGGGTCAGTTTAACACACGTTTAGGGGGTTGGCGATGGTTGGCATTGCATACCTGTGTAGGCTGTGTAGGTGTTGATGGCAAGTGTAGGTGCCAACATTACACCTCTTGGCTCATGCGGCGTCAGTCGCACCGCTGCATGGGACACAACACCTGACACAACCATGCCGATGCTCCAGAACTTTCAATCCTCCCGTCAAGGCTTCATCGTAAGAGTAGATTTAGATATCTGTACCTGCAATAAAACCATGTTTGGCTGTTGGGCATAATTGAAGCGCTGTGGCAGCTCTCCAGCGGGGTACCGGATGACAGCCTCTTTTCGAAATTCCATAGCTGCAGGAATACGCAGGAGATCCAGCAAAGAGAGATGCAGCTGGAGAGCCCTAAGTTGCCACATCACTCCACATGGACCACCGCTCTGCAAGCGTCGGCATTGCGCGCGCCCCCTGGGGCCTGATTCGGAACACGAACTGAAGGCACACCGAACCTGCACTTCAACAGCATTGCGGCATTTGGGGCATCACGGCTCTCAAGACCTCTTGTGCACGACCTGGACTCTCTAACGCATACGACCTTGGCACGTTGGCACATGCGAGCTCGTCCACAGTGCACCATGCATGCAGAATCGTCCTCAAGGCTGACGACAGCGCTAACATTGAAGGAAAACCCAATCCTGTGCGCAAAGGGCCCTGCCCGTTGCAGAAGGCTTTGCCTACTGAATGCGTCCGGGTCGCGCATCCCAATAGAGGCGGACCGGGGCTGAATATTCCAGGGAGAGGGGGCTTTCAGCATAGGGGCCCGTCTCGGGCTTAACTCCAGGTCCTCAGACAGAATACACAACTAGAGGGCAATCACCCAACTAACCTGGAGCTGCTGGGTCCGTGGATCTGTGGGCCACCCCACACGTGGCAGCTCTTGGAGATGTTGTGGGAGGGGCGTCTGACATAGGGTGGGCGCAGCGATTGCCTAGCAAGCGTTACCCAGAACCCTACACTTTGGGATGTTACCCCTTCTACTAACAGCCCTCAATAGGGATTACAGTACCCCCTATTATAGCCCTCAGCAAGCACTCCAACTCTTTTCGAGAAGCGAGGTCCGAGCTCTTCGAGAGTGCTTAGCGC